CACACACACACACACACACACACACACACACACACACACACACACACACACACACATCTATATTTCTCTACAATGACACTTGAGGAAATCCATCAAATGGATCGACTATGCTAGTACAATTACTAGTATTTACAAAATCTACTACTACGAATTACAATTACGATCAGTTGTTTATTTCCGACTCCGTGACGCTGAGGTGGGCATGGCGAGCAGCTTCTTCTTGGTGGCGAAGTACCGAACCATTCGCTGAAAGGCATAGCTGGAATAATCGAAGGTAGGATCCATGGGCGCTCGGGCCGACAGAATGCCCCACAGAGCCCAATGGATATGGCTGACGAGAGAGAACCTGTGGGCTTCTTCTGCCAGCGACTTTATGTCTTCATCGCGCACCTCATCGTCCACGTCAGCATCATAGACACCATCCCTCTCACCATGACCATTTTCTTCTCGTTCCACCTCCACCTCCCTTCCCATCCCTCCCTCCCTCCCTCCCTGCCGCCTCCGTCTCCCTGCGGCATCATCACCTGCACATTCTCCCCCTTCCCCCTTCTCCTCCCCCCCCTCCTCCTTCATCTCTTCCTTGTCGTTCTTCCTCTCCTCCTTCTTCTTCTCCTCTTCCTCCTCCTGCTCCTCACGTCTCTGTGCTGCACGCGCTCGCAGGTAATCTCCCGCGAATCTGTATCGCTCCGTCTGGTCGGGATACCAATCAAAGCGCAATCGATGCGGCTCCCCTGAATGGTAATCTGCCATCATCTCGCAATAGAAATTGCCGATGTCGTACGCCACGTAGTTATAGCAAGCATACTCGTAGTCGATCAACGTCACAGATTCTGCCACGTCAGATGCATCTGCTGCTGATGATGCATCTGACGTCGTGGCAAGGACTGCCCTTGCCACGTCAGCACGCCTGGCTGGCCCCCTGCCCTTCACCATCATCACGTTCCCGTACTGCAGATCGTTGTGACAGAACCTGACCCCCCATCTTGCGGACACGTGTCCTGCAGCAGAGAAGGCGCGCTCCAGCTCATCGATCTCTTTACCGAGAGCGTCGAGGCGGCAGTCCTCCCGCTGAGCTGACGGGGCGACGTCCCAGGCGGCTGAAAGCCACTGGCGCAATCGCTCCCAAATGCGGGGGTGTCGGGATCCCGGCATGGAAATCTTGTGGAATCTGGACAGCTGGAAGGCGATGAGCCGGGACACAAGGGGATCGCGAAGATCCCGAGCGGAGAGCGTGCGACCGTGGAGGTACTCCTCCACTCTCCCAAGAGAGAACCGCCAGATCAATCGAGGGCCTAATCCAACGCATGCCACGTGTTCAAAAACCTTTATCTCGTCCTCACGGCGAAAGAACATACTTACCTCGTCACCATAAATTCGAATAATCACTTTCTTTTTATTATTATTATTATTATTATTATTAGAAGCATTATTAGCGTTATTTTTGTGATTATTATTATTATTAATATTACTACTACTCAACACCGTCTCTTGATTCTCCAAGAAGCTCCTTCCTTTACAAGGACATCCTCCTCCTCCTCCTCCTGCACCTGCTTGTACTCCACGACCAGATTCTGCTGCGTCTGGCCCGACCGCAGAATCTGGTATTCTTTTCTTTCCGCCGTCAACACCACCACCACCTCCTTCTCCTCCTCCTCCTCCTGCTGCTGCTGCTGCTGCTGCTGGAGATGTCGCCAGCTCGGTCCAGCTGCACTCGTACACCTTGTTCGTCATAGCGCCGTTCAGACGACGAAACTTCAAGGAAGCGTCGCTGGGAACGCCAGGCCATTTGCAACGGGCCAATTTTCGAAGAATGCGCGCGTCCTCTCCCGCCCAGACCTCATTGTGCTCTTCTACGCGTGTGAGCACCATCTTCTCGACCACACAAAACAGTCAAAATTTACTCACGGATATGTGTGTGTGTGTGTGTGTGAGAGAGAGAGAGAGAGAGAGAGAGAGAGAGAGAGCGGAAGAGCTGGGGAAGTTGAGGCTAATCAGTTTGCCTGCCCGGATTGTGGAACGGCCGGGCAAAATTGAGCTTGCCAGATCACGGAGGAGCGCGATAACGGGCACCGCGCAGGCTGTGCGGCAGCAGAAGAGTCCACGAGCCACTTTACGGAAACCCCTCGTACAACTGAAACGGAATCAATGAAGGCATTGTTTGTCAAGATATATGCTCAAACAATTGATGCTCGTCTCGATATATGCTAAACTCTTAAGACCTGATTGGTCTCTTCCGATGACCAATCAGGTTAGCCAAAGAAATCGTAGCCGTCCGCTGTACACTGAATACTACATCTATCGCCTTCTGATGCATGAGATCGAATAATACAGATTTAAGAGTGTACTTGACCAGGATTGCGTCTAGATTACGAGTGTACTTGAACAGGAGGATTGCATATAGATTGGCTGCTGCTGCTCAACAAGTCGTGACTGTGCACTTTCTGTTCTTCGGTCGGCTAATGACTCGTTTATTATGTTGAGTATATGTATACATATATACATATATACATCAATATGTATATATCGTCACAAACAGAACTGCCCGGTAAACCGTAGGCAGAGAGAGAGAAGAGGACAACAAACGAGGGGCTGTAACAAACTGTTTCGCCGGAGTTTATATATATCAATATGTATACATGTGTATATATATATGTGGCTGTATTTATACGTGTATATATCTATAAATCGGTGCAAAAATTCGTATGTAATCACGACTGGTTATCCTCGTGCCACGTCATCAATAACTCCAATTCCAATAATTACAAAAACTGTGACGTCATCCAATATTGCCAACTCCCAATTAATTGCTCACCAATCAATTTGCCCGCCAACAGAAAAATCTGGTAAGGGCGTACCAATTACTGGTGCAGAATTTGGTTCAGAATTTGGTTCAGGAATACGACTAGAAACATTGACAAGAAATTGGATCACGTCCGATCACAAAGGCAAATCATCAATCAGTCCATGGAGCAGATAGTATTCGCTCGTGACTTTCCAAATTTGGACATACGGTCTTCTATTTTTCTGGTGTAATTTCCAATTCTGTACGGCCGGCGACAATGACAAATTCTAAGTTGATGAAAAAAAAAAAAAAAAAAAAAAAACAGAAAAGAAAAAATACAGTAATATCCTACGATGCCGCGCGCCGCTGGAAAAAGAGCTCGTGAAAGAAAAAAAAATCCAAAAATCCAAAAATCCAAAAATCCAAAAATCCAATTGGAGCTGTTGGCAATTTAGCAAACGCCTGCTCGCACGCAATTAAGTGAAAAAATCATCAATTAATTTGAATTAAATAATCATTTTAGCCTCCAGACAGCTTGGTGCATTACCATCATCATCTACCTATCACCGCACAAAGTGTCGAATATACTCTAGAATACAGACCAGATACAATCACGAACAGTCAGACGAATGTTCAGCCGGTCGGTCGAGTGACCGGGATCTCCCTTCACGTGGTCTTACCTTGGCTGATCAGTTCGGGACTGGTAGTTTGATTGATTGATTGATTGCTCTCTTGATTACTTGTTTGCTCGCTTGCTTGATTGGTTGCTTGCTTGCTTGATTGTTTGATTTATTGAATGATTGATTGGTTGCTTGATTGGTTGATTGGTTGACTAATTCATCAATCGATAGCTCACAAGAAATCTGATATAAACCCGAGTGTTCATAGCGCCGGCGCGCAAGACGAGTTAATCTATGATTGGCAGATGACCACAAGGATAAACCGATTGGCATAAAATGGTTTAGACACGTGGACGATCTGGTTGGCAACACGACCATCTGACACGTAGATCGTTCGAAAACGGATAAGGAGTGACACGTGCTAAGCCAAGGTCGTAGCCGTTATAACCGCCATAGCCATCAGGGCGCAAGCATCAGCTCTGGTGTACCGACGCAGTGTCAATATGATGTTATTACTAAAAAAAAAAAAAAAAAAAAAAAGATGTTACTACTCCTCAACAAACGGCCCTAGCTCCGAGGTAATGCCGTGCTCGGCGATGGACGTATAACCGCGCAAGAAATGTCTACAAGCTACAGCAGCGCAAAGGAAAACGAAAAGCACCATCGACTGCAACGACGACGAAGAAGCAGAACAAGAACGAGGAGGAGTGGACACTATCCAGAGAAACAAAGGGAAGACGGTGCGGGAAGAAATATAGAGAGAGACAGGAGGCAAGCAATTCTGAAGCACGTGTTCCCGTTCTCTCTGCACTACTATTACAGCTACCTGGCCATGGCCGCACTGCTGACGTCAACAACTGCTCGTCAAGCAGCGAAAGCCATGACGTTCAATTCTCTCTCTCTCTCTCTCTCTCTCTCTCTCTCTCTCTCTCTCTCTCTCTCTCTCTCTCTCTCTCTCTCTCTCTCACACACACACACACACACACACACGCACACACACACACACAAGTGGACCGATCCCCTCCCTTTCGCGCTCGCCGTCGTCGGCTCACCTGCACTGCTAACGCAGCCCGCGGTGGCGATCTGATGCTCTTATTCGAGCGAAATCTGGCTGCTCATCGCTGCATGATGACACGTGGCAATCGTTCCCGTCAATTCCGCCGCTCGGCCAGAGGGAGAGCTGTCTACCATCATTCATTCACAACTACTGCCTCACCCACTCTGATTGCGCGATTGCAAACCACTGTTTGTTACTCTGTACTACTTCACAACTGTTTGTCTTCCTGTTTTCTGCCTATCTGTGATCGCGACGACTGTCCCTGCCGACGTCGACGATCGCGATCCCTGTCGACGTCGACGATCACGATAGATGCCGACGATCACGATAGATGCCGACGATGGTTGACGTCAACGTTTAAAGCAAAATGGCAATGCCAGGGCCCATTCTACCACCACATGTGCACACCCTGGCAGGGTCGTGGCGGCCGTCCTCGTGAGAGAAGAATCCAGTCACTCCGCGTGGATCAGGTGGGGCACTCGTTCCTCTTGCCTTTCGCTGCATTGATTTATATTTGAAAAAGCTTGCGCCCGACGCGTGGGATGTCAAATTAGACACAAGCGAACCTCTGATCTTAACCACAGGGCCTAGTTTTACCAAGCTGACATCGAAAGATCAACACTCTGAGACCTCTGTCCTGGCTAATACTCGTTGTGAATTTCAACTGAGATTTTATTTCTCCATTTAAACATATACTACTAAGGGCATACTCAGACTACTACGTTTTTGCGTATTTTTGGACGGAACTGTGGCCAGATTCGTCCAGGTATGGCGTGAATGCGGTGAGATACATTTGAGATACTGCTAGTGTGAGTACGCCCTAAGGCTCTCCAACCACTACACTATCTGACTGCGTCTACCCCCTTCACAGGCCTACAAGGCCTGACATGGGTCTACACCTGACCGAATGGAACCCAGTTCCAAGTGCCTGGCACTCTACCACCTTCCTCCCCTATTGGACCTCCTTGAACCGAGATGCCCTGGTTCATAGTAAAAAAAATTCAGCATCAAGCCAAGGAAAGCCATAACAAACCAAGAAAAACAAACCTCTTTCTCTCTCTCTCTCTCTCTCTCTCTCTCTCTCTCTCTCTCTCTCTCTGTGTGGGATGGGAGGCCTACTCTTGTAGCCATTTGGAGATTACCAACCCTCTCGTCCTGTGAACGCCTGCCAGTGTGTTGTTAATTGCCCAGGTTTTGAGAAACCACCACAGGGCTCGGTTTGGAGCCTTTCCGCACCTCGCCCTCCTCCGCCAGTCTGACAGATCATCCGTCCCAACTGCCTTTTGATTGATCTCTTAATCTCCACGTCAGCAAACGGCTTACCTTCGAACCTAGCCCTGTTTCTGTCTGCCCAGATAACGGAGCAAATAACAGCTCTGGCCACCTGGGCCACATACGCCCATCCCCTTTTCCCTGTCTCTTCCTCCTTCACAAATCCCAGTGGTTAAGATCAGAGGTTTGCTGGTAAAAGGACACGAGTGTAACGGGTAGGGAGTAAGGTTACTCTGTTACGCTAAACGGGCCGTTGCTGCCGGGATAACTCCGGGTGGATTTGTGAGGTCCCCGGCCTCCTGTTTGGACAGTAATAAAATGGTTGATTAAAAAAAAAAAAAAAAAAAAAGACACATGATTGAATTTACCTGGGCTGGTTAGTCCAATGATAATGATAATACCCCAAGGCCATCGGCCTTTTGAAAAAAGAAGGATTCAGGCGAAGGGCGGAAAGCCATGTGGGTTTGGGGGGGGGTAGGGGGAGGTGCAGTGACTGGCCATTGCTCGGCGCTAGCACCACCGATTTCCCCCATCCGTAATGCCTGCCCACCCTCGTCACCGTGATGACGGACTGGTACAGCCTTGCTCTCGCACCACAGCTGTGGTGCAAACCTACCCCGTGGGTTGGGGAGAGATCCGGGTTGGTTGTTGTTCCCCCGTACTATAAATTTTCAGTTTTTTATTTTTGGCTCATGATTGGCTACAAATTTGAATATGACTCCAAGGAAAACATTGCTTGTATTGTTGTTTTACATAACATATATTTTTTTAGATTTTTATGAGAACTTTTTTTTTATATATATTTTTTATGTTCGTGTTCGGAGGGTTTTGGGCGCTTGTTCGCGTTCGCCTTCGAACGCGGACACGGTGCTACGTAGAGTTAGAGTTTCTTCTATAATATTTTAGACTTTCAACAATATGATATTTGCATCTGCTGTAATACATATTTGATCTTTCTAAAATGTTACAAATTACAATGATAGTTCTTTATCACAAAGTGGTAGTTGTTCTACTGCGATTTATGAGAGATCTAGTTCGACTTCTACATCGTTTAGGCTAAAACGTGTCTTGACTATTAGTCTTACCTCTTTGAGTCGGGATTTGTGTTTTCATCTTTATGTTTTGAAAAATCAGTAGTTGACTAAATTTAGCCAAGTAGAACATCATCAACTTTTCGTATAAGCCTTTAAGTTCCATATATGTACATATATACAGGGTTGCCAGGCCGAACGTACGGAGGCCCCTAAGTTGACCCCCGAACGTTCTGGCGTTCAGGTCCCCGTATGGGGCCCAAACTTGAAGGGGTTCGTACCCCGCAAAAAAATATTTTGACACCTAAATATTATTATTTTTTTCTCAATTTTGTTTTGT